AGTAGTTCTGTGAAGCTAATATGAAGTGAACCTGTCCCTCAACTGCAGCACCCCCAGCCCATATTGCTACAGCAAGAGCTGTAGTAGTGTGCAGACAGCTGGGGCAGGTAAGACTCTGCTCCCCCTTCACCCTCTCCCACCTGCCCCACTCTCCAGTGGTTAGCATAAATAAGCCATTGCCCTTTCCCCCCACCCCCCAACCTAGGTCATGGAAGGAGCTTGTTAAACCTCTTGCAGAGAGGAACTACACTGGAGTAAAAGGGACCAGAGTTTGTCCCTCAACAGATTTCAAATTACAGTCTTAGAAAATTCAGCTCACAGGAGCTTACTGTTTAGTGCATGTACTTTCTTCTGTCTGGTATTTAGTTTTTTTCCAGCTGTTTGTAACCGGAAAGGGACATATATTTGATCAAAAGATCTGACAACATTAAACATAAATTCCTCATGCCTTCAAAGAACCATGTCTGTCATTAGTTAATCTATCAATTAGTTAATCATCCAACACTCCTGAAGTCAACTGAAAGGCTTCCCATTTGACTTCATTTGAGTTAGATCAGGCCCTGAATGAGGACCTAAAGCATGTGGAAAAGATCAAAGTCCAGAGGAGGTTTTATTTTGACAAATGAAGGACTTCTGTCTTCACAGGTGTCAATTTAGCACTTCTCATATGTATTAAATTCACTTTAAATAAAAAAAAATTAGAAGAGATAGATATAGAGAGCTCAAAATATCTTGTAATACAACATAGCCTATTACAGCAATAAATCAGAGGATTCTCAACCATAATTACTGGATATTATATTGTCCTATCTGCAATGAAAATATAATTCAGATATCCTATTTTGCAACCAGTCTGTCTCTAGTGACTTAGCAGCTTTCTAATGAATATCAACTTAAAATAAACTCTATTTCCTTAGAATCGCCTCTACAAAGGTGATAGTCTCAACAAAAACCAGTTACCAATAAGTAGTCTTTTTGTATAATACTGATATGGCAAAGGTCTCTTCACCTAAGATGCATTTAATATATTTCCTGGTCAAATGCAGCACTGTTTGCTGGTAGGTTTTTTAGAAATATATCTTCTTTTTATGTGGAATATCTCTTCATTTTTTGTATGCAAAAAATTGCATACGGATAATAGAAACCACAAGGAAAGTAAGAGTGCATGTGTCATGATTCTATACGGTAGAAGACAGAGCAATACTTCAACTAATATTTATGAAAGATCATCATAGCTACTTCCTTAGAAGTCTATTAAAATTATAGAAAGCTTTCCAAATTCTGGTGTATGAAAATGAATTAATATTGTTTTTATATATTTGGGGGTTTTAAGCGTCAATATGCATTGGAAGATCATGTTGGTTTTTAGATCCAGGTTTATTTTGTCCAATGGAAGCTGTTAAAAAACTACCACACTGTACCCTATGCTACATCAATCAAACAAAATGAAAATCCATTATTTAACTACACCTTCCTGACAGATATGCCACAGTAATGGGAAACTTTTCCAGCAATCTGCCTGCATCCAGTATAATTACAATTTTTAATCTTTAGTTTTGACATATTTGTTACTTACCTCGTTATCCTCCCATAAACCTAGATCATCACATTTAATGATATTTCAAAAATCCACCATCCATGTTGAAAAGTTTCAAACAACATTCTTTCTTTGGCTCTTTCAGTACCTCTGGATTCTGTTGTTTGATTAAGGGATGCCCTGTCCTCGTTTAAATAAGCTAAAACACTCACCTCTTCTGATTAGCATAGTCTGCCATGCAAAGCCTTTGTGCTGTACTTTCTACTGATTTGTACTGTATTACACTGAGATCCAAGTATATGTCTGCTCTTTTCTATTGAACTCATTTGTCTTTGACGGTCAGCTTTACATGTACATTTGGTGTCAAGTGCTGGAAGGAGAAGCAGCCATAGAAATGCCTCTTCTCCTTATTCTTAATTTTTACACTGAAGGGAATGTGGATTCAATGCCTGGCACTTGCCTTTCAAGTCAGGAGCAGAACCACAGATAATTATCAGAGTTTGGATTTGAAAACACTGTGCCAGACAAAAGGGTTCTTGACAAGGCTGCCTCTAGGGTATGGGAAAACCTAGAAGAAGGAAAATTATAGTGGCCTTGTGTGATAGCTACAGCAGTATACAACCAACTCCTGAGTTGGTTCAAGGTGCCACTGTCTCCAAAGGATTTCCAAATCAGAAGACATGTTGAATAAGTATCAGCACTCATGGGATGGGCCAGCCAATTCTACAAAATGTCAGTGTTCCAAAGAAATTATTGTCCTTATTTATGCTAGTTTTATATGTGTTGACTCCAAGGAGTTATGCATGTAAGTGAAAGACCCCCACTCTAGCAAAGCAACCTAAAATTTGACTTAATAAACCAGTAGAAGATTCACTGGAAAGGCAGAATCCATCTGTGGCTTAGCACGGCTGTGAGGGGATGTTCCTGCAGGAAGAAATTATGGCCAGAGAATCCATAAGAGGGCCTCAGGCTTTGTTATCAGAACAATACCTTAGCTATGAGTAGCAGGCATTATGTAGCTGCCCCACGCTGTGTCAGGGGCCCGATTGGGGAAGCTGCAGTAGCTTCAGAAAAAGCTGGATCCTAGGATCTGGCTCCAAGACCGCAGCCTGTTTGTGTGTAACAAAATCAAAATATGACCCAGTGCAGAATTGTTATCACCCTACCCAATGCAATAGGCCTACAAGCAGTGGAGCTCTTATTTCCACTGATATAAATTATGAGAAACTATTACACTGGTGCAAGCGACTTCAGACTTGGGCCCACAGGCTGATAAAGCACTATTCATATGTACCAATATGTGGACTGTTACCAATCCCAAACAAATTTTGTATACTTGTGATTGCCATGCTTGGCTTGGAGTTCATAACCATAAAATGATAATACTGTCTCTGGAGCCCAAACCTCAAAGTGTCCAGAGGTAGCTCCTACATCACAAAGCCTGTAGTGATAGAAGCTGTACTTTAAAGATGCTCCCTAACTAAGGAGACTAAGAAAGTTTGTGATTGTGAGATGGTCCCTCAGTTAAGTCGCTATCAGATTAATAAATGACAGACCAAGCATCTGCAGAGGTCTTCCTACTGCTCCACAGTAAATTCATTATCGTTATTTCTTTTCATTCATGTATGCCTGTGTTTATTGAACCCAGTGATCACTACAAGGGTGAGGATGATCAGCCTATCTATGGGTTTAATGGCGAATCCAAACCATGTTTGTCATTCCTTTGATGCTTGTAGGTCTCCAGGTATGCACTTATATACACCATTACCCATAATTTGGCTCCAACTCTGTTGAATTTTGCATGTCCTACTATTTCTGATCTCCTCCAGATTCTACATTGCTTCAGCCTTTCTCAAAGCCACTGATCACATTCTCCAGTTCATTAAGACTGGTCTACAAAGCACAAAAGCTAATTTTTTACAATACTATTTTTTACCCTCACATAATGGAATCCTAAGATGATTCAAAGCCTCCATAAAACACCTTATCCCACATCTCTTCTTAGATGCTACAATTGTGGCCAGTATAAATGTGGGGGAGGTGACCAGCTGAAGGACATGGGTGACTATATGAATCAGAGCAGCCCTAAAACTACTCACTTTGTTTTAGGGACTGAACTGGCAGCTAGATGGCCCCCAGATGAGGGGGATACCGAAGATGGCTTAAAACTATCTTTTCACTGTAACAGGGAGCCAGAAGGCCCCTGTTACTTAACGGGAAAATGCAACAGGGTGAGCTAACTCAGGGAAAGCTAGCAGCTAAGGAACTAGCTACCTGCTAGCTGGTTTGCAGCCAAAAGCCAGCAGTAACAGGCACAAAGGACAATCAGGCTGCTCAAGGGCTTAGAGCTGCAGAGGAAAGAGGAACAGGAGGAGCTAGGAGAGCTCCTAGCTGGCACTGGTGATACTTTGGGGAAGGTAATCAGACTGCCGCTGCCTTGCAGAGGACTATGACCCAAGATAAGCCTTGTGATACAGAGAGGTAGCCACTGTTTATATTCAGACCCAGAGTGGGTTAGTAGGTGTTATAGCCAGAGGCCTCCTTTCTTTGTTATAGTTTATACCAGTGGTTTGAGTGGGACTGTGAGAGGTGGTTTTGGAGGTCCCAGTGGTGTCCAAAGGGTTCATGACTGCTTTGAGCCCAGCTAGGGGCCAGGCAGGTGGCACCTGAGAAGGGGTGAAGCCAAAGTTTGAGAAAGCCATGGCAACTAGTAGCTTACCTGGGGCAGGGGCCCAGCACCTGAGAGGGGCATGGATAGGGCAAGGGCCCATTGCTCTTGAGAAGCAGAACAGTGCCCGGGAATGCTCTAAAGATAGGGTGAAACAGGGCCTGAGTAGGCACCAGAGGTGTCATGGCCACCACCCGAGCTGGCTTTTGTTACATTCACAAACATATCCTAAGCTGCAACCATCCAGCCCACAGGTCATCTTTCAAAGAGTTTTTGTTTCCCCTTCTCCCTTCCATCTTTTTTTTTTTCAAATATAATCAGGTAATAGTCTTAATAGGGAGTCTACTAAAGGCAATTAGCAAGGATAAAAAAGTATATTCTGTTCATTCTACTAACTGATTCATTTATGGTGTGTGCACTGTGTGCTGGGAAGTTACCCTCCAAAGATATTATTGAGTTCCCTTGGGGTAAAAAGTGGCCTTTTTGGTGGGAAAATGTTGGCAACCCTATGATCCAAGTATTTCCTCCTTTGATGAAGGTTGTCTTTCTACTGTGCTGAAGTATCATATTTGAATGTGCAAAAACAATGAAAAAAGAGAAGTAGGAAAAGAAAACACTTTTCTCCCATTAAGAAAGTCTGATGAAAACTGCTCTTTCATCTGGCATTTGATACTCAAATGCACTTTTGCATTCACAGTTGGATGGAGATTTTTTCAAGTTCAGCCCTAATTTATTTATCTTAAAGCAGGCAATGTACTGTAATTTTACAATAAAGGACTCCCAATCAAAGCTTACCTTATCCAGAGGTAATTAATACAAAGATTGTTGAATTAAAGATGTGAGTCTTGACACTTTGGCAGGGGGTAAGGGACATGGTCTCAAAGGCCCAAATTATGCCTGAAACAGACCAATTAACACCATGTATCTTCTTTTATGTTAACTTCAATTAAGGTTTCTTAAAATTTTTAAAGTTATTTTCTTCTTTACAATCTCAGAATGTCAGAAATGTACATCAAAGAAAAACGCTTCAGTGCGAACACCATAGGTAACGCTCATTTGCACACAAATCTGCATATTGCAAAGGAGTTCAGAGCCCATTTTGCATGAATTATTGCAGGATATGAGTCAATGAATTAAAAAGCTTAAAAATAACAACCATCCAAATGACGATGGGCTGCACCAACTTCTGTTGACATAACGAATTTAAAAAAAAAGCAAGTCAGAATTAGACTTTGGTTATGGAGATAAATAAGAAAATGATTTAAAGTGTGATGCTACACAGCCCCATGCATTTTAAACTACTTGGATTCACTTTGCTCATTATTTAGAGGTTGTGACTCAACATTCCTCTATTAGAAGAGAATATTCTTTTTCTTCCACTAGAAAGTTGAAACAGAAATGGATGGGTTTACACTCTTGACTCTTCTGGTTTTGACAGTAAATCCATTGACCCTTTTTTTCAGAACTGCATACAGCATGTTGTTGAAGCAAATTTTATTCTAAAGTCATGTGTTTATAATGTAAGTTTGTCCTTGTGTTAGTCATTTCCCAAAATATCATTTCCCAGTTTGCCATTGATTTGCTGTGTCTCAGTACTATGGCTATTTATTTTCCCCATTTTAAGTCAAGAAATACATTTCTTAAAACACCAATGCAAAATGAAGCTCCTGATATGTATCACTAAGCAGACTTGGCAATTAATGTTTTCTGAGATAAATTTAAATAAGTTAATAAAGTGCACCAAAGAGCACATATCCAAAGATTTTGAATTCAAAGCTTTCTGTTTAAGACCCTTTTCCTTTCTGCCCTCAGTTACCTGTGTGTGACTCTTGTTGACTCTTGCTAATTTCCTCTCTCTGCTCATGGATAGCACTATGCTCAGCCTTCTGACTGAGTTCAGACTAACGCAAGTAACAGGCTCTATCTTGCTGACCCCAAGTCACTTCTATTTGGAGCTGGTTTAACTGTTCACTGCAAACCATGTAATCCCCTGCTGTGGCCCATTTTAATTCTTTTGCAAGCTGTCCATAAACAGAGCAAGATTTTGCAGAAGTTCTGTATTATGGAATAGAGTCTATTCCACCTATTAGGTGCATAATTGGATTTAGGTAACTAAGTGCAATTCTGTTCCACCCTGCTTGAGTGCCTGACAAACAGTTAATGCAAAAGGTATGTGGGTCCTCCTCTTTAGTTTCTTGTGACACAGTCTTACAGGTTAGATGACAGCGGCCTTGTATAGACATTCAGTTTCTCCTGGGAGAGTTGCTGCTCTTCCAGGAGAAACCATGAGCATACAGAAGTTTAGGCTCTTTTTCCCTGAGTAGAAATGGCTACTCCAGAAGAAAAGTAATCTGAGTACAACCAGGGTTAAATCACTTCTAGGAGAGTTTCTCCTGGGACAACCAATGTCTGTACCTGCTATACAGCCTGTACAACACAAGTTGACCCCAGGCCACTAGTCAGTCAGGACTGCCTTATGCTTTGCTGTCATCTGTTGCCAGGCAGACAAAAGGAGCTTGCAGACCATACTGAGATTGGGATCTCCCCCCTCCCAGGTTTCCACCCCTCAGTTGCACAGTGCCAGCATGGCAAGCTCTCCACTCTTCCAGGCTTCAGTATTCAAATGTCTGTACATGTGGCTATGTGGCTCTGGGTAAGTTTTTCTGCAATGAGAACTAAGCTGGGAGAATTCTCCCAGATTATTTGAATGTATGTATATGGTCATTGTGTTACAACAGAAGATCCATTAGTGGATTTTCAGGGGCTTGAATGCAGTGGGAAGGAATCAAATTAAGTACCTATGTCTTCTATATACATTATTCAACTGATACTTTTCATTTAATATATTTGGACCAATAGGTCATTCACAAACTCTTCACAGGAAGTGCTTCACAATATATTCATATTTAGAACTATTTATCCAGGTTATGCGATTAGCAGAGATCCTGATTTTCTCTGATAAAAAAATCCCCAATTTTCAGGTTTAAGAAAGTAACACATTTTTCCATGATTAAAATGAAACACCACTATATATGTATATGTATGTATTAGTGGTGTTTCATTTTAATCATGGAAAAATGTGGATTTGGAGTTACTTTTTTTAATCTGGAAATTGGGGATTTTTTTAATGAGAGAAAACCAGGTGATTAGCTGCCTATGTCAACTAGTATGTTTCCTCTTTCCTGACTGGATGACTAACACTTTATAAACAGGACTAGGTCCTGCAGAGGTTAGAGGGCCACTAAACTTTTCAAGAAGAGGGTGAGAGCACTGGAAGCAGAAATGGAGAAGCAGACCTAGAGTAGTTAAAGAACTGTCTTATAGCTTCTGATATGCTTTTGGTCCACCTTCCTCCCTCTTCCTCCAGAACTAATGATACCTTTCCATGCCTTCTTGACAATAGTAGCAGAATTGAAAGACCATTATGCTGGCAACAGCTCTTTAGTGTCCTTTCAGGGGATAACTATTGATTTCTGTGCCTTGGGTGGAGACATCTCCTTAGAGTAGTTGCCCTAAATGCTGATCTCTACTTGTCAGTGTCTGGCCATGTTGCTCTCTGTTCTGGTGCTGCACTGTTGGCAAAACAACTCTAATAAAGGAATATTCACACTTGTCAAATGTTCTCCCCATTCCTTGCTCTTCCCCTCTCTTTGTCCCTGCCCCCTTCATGCCAAAAGAGCACTCTGCTGTTGGGATGTTTATTATTCTCTTCCTGCCTCTGTTACTTACGTGTGTACATCTAGTTCATGTATAGGTACGTACCAAATTCACAGCAGAAGTGGGCTGCGTGGCAGCTCCTTTAATCTTGCAGGTTACCTGCGCACCCTCCCCCCACTGCTGATTGGCTGAGGGGCCCCAGTGGCCCTGCTGCTTGATGCTGACCAGCTGGGAGGTAAAAATAATGCCATATTTAAAATGACGGTTTTTACCTCCCTGCCAATCAAGAGCAAGCATCAGGGCCCCTTAGCCAATAGGCAGGGGGGGCATGTGGGGGAACCTGCAAGATTAAAGATGCTGCTGTGCAGCCTGCTTCCACCATGAATTCGGTAGGTCCCTATTCATGTAGGATGATGAAGCCTTCTGACAGGGATGTACTTGTTTGTATACCCATATATGCATGAATCAAAGCTCCTTGCAAAACATTCCTGTAGGCAACAGATGACCCAAATGTTAGGAGAGTGCAACAAGGAAGCGATTGAACTGGAAATCAGGTGTAGTAAACAGTCACATTTTCCTACTATTCTCCCAGCTCTATTAACCGTTTTACCAGTTGTTATAGTAGTTCAGATTTGTGGCAGCCAGACAGGTATGTCCAGGAACAGAGTTTGGATATTAATGTTTTGAAAAATGATGTGTGGGCAGCAAAGCTCCCATTCACACGTTTCTGAAATTTATTACATTTATTATAGTAATTAGAGCTGCTTCTCCAGGAGAAGTGGAGCATGACCCTTGCTTCCACTACATTAAAATGGCTTAATCATTTTCAACAACTACTGGTACATATTATACTTAAGGTCAAATTCACGTTTTATCTGTACCTCATTTTCTAAAGGCTATCAGGAGTTCGGATGTTATAATACATTTCACACCTATTTTACCTCTAACTTCTTATTATCATGATCACAAAAATCTCAAAACATACAACTGATTGCCAAAAAAGGAGGCGGGAGAGGCAGAAAAAGCAAAGTCAGCTAAAACTGCACGGGCTCAAATTCCATCTGTTTTAGCTCATTTTTTTGAGATGTCAGTCTTTTTCTGCACAACCAACTGTGATAAAACTGATCTTTGATCAACAATTCTGAAAACACTGGACCTTAGCCAGAACTCATCTGTTTCTCAGTTCAGGCCCTGTTCAAAAGTCTATACTCTTCTAAAGAAGTGCAAATGCCAATGGAAGGATACGAGTCTTGTCAGAGTTGCAGGAAAACCTTACTATTCCTTGCAGCTGAACAAAGCAAAGAGCTAAAAACATTGCATGGGCCTCATCCCTCTTTAAAAAACATCCCTCTGGAAAGATAGGTCTCACATGTTTGGCTAATAGAGTCTATTTCACTGAGACAGGATTTTGTCCAGGACGCAGAAGATATCCCAAACTCTTTTTGAAATGTTCTATGAAATATTTGACTGTAATCTAGCCAGCTGCCATCAACAAGCAGAAGAGGGTCTCAGTTTAACATGTCATCTTAAAAGACGGTACATCTCGTAAGGTCTCTCTGCTGCTAACATTGCATTGCAAGAACAGTGGACAGGAGCCCAGCTCTTGATATTAGTCCCATGATCTGACCTAAAGCTATGACTTGGTGAATGAATATATTGACTTTGTGTTGACAGCAGTAGAGATATATAAAAGAGAACATGTTGCATACTGATCACACAGTGATCTAGTGAGTAAACAGTAAGTAGGAATCATACTCCCACATTATGTTTGCGTGGAGGGACAACCACACTCCTGTTGAATTTAAAGAAAAGAGGGTCCTAGGTTCCTTGAACTGAGGAAGAGAAAGTAGAAGAGTCCTAAGCTCAGCAGGTGAAGGGCTTCTAAACAGCTAGCCGTGGACATTCATTTAGGGCCAGCATTTTGGAGGTATTAATGTGCCTTACCGCCATATAAAATTGATCTTTCGACATCTAGAGCAGCACAGACAAGCCTCAGAGAAAACTGAAGGCTTTGGTTTGCAGTCCAGCCCTTGTTAAAGAAGAACTGCACAGCTTAGTTTGCAAATATCATCCTGAACCTGACCCTGCAGAGTTCAAACAGTTCTAGCAATCAGACTGAGTAACAGTCTCTGAAGGGAAGTGATAGAAGCACTATCACTTGAGTTATTTAAACTGCATTGGGCAATGCCCTGGGGAATACTGACAAGGGAAAGACAATTTTAGTAAGACAGAATTAAGAACGTAAAATACTTAGCTATT